CAGCCCCCATCCTTGGTGGTGCTCCTGCCAGTGCCCCTTACTCCCAACCTGCAGCCCCCTGTGTCTGCCAGTTCCTCTCACTCACAATCCACAGCCCCTGTACCCCAGCCCTGCCAGAGGATGGCCCCTGGCTGCTAGGGCTGTGGGACTGTCCTGTCTGCTCTCTGCTTCATGAGTGCCAGCCACAGCCAGACAGCAGTGCCTGAGTCCCAGCTACTGTGTGTGGGAGGTGGCTGCTGTGGCTGGACTGGAGTGCAGATCCCACCCTCTGCAGGTGGCATGACTGGAGCAGAGCTGAGCAAAGCCCATGGGTGGTGGGGGAAGATGCAGGCTGCCTGCTGTGGGGCTCAGGGCTCCTTGCCCTGTTGCCCTCCCCACAGGGGTCTCTGCAGCCCAGTGGGTGGGATGCAATATGGGAAGGTGAAGCAGGGTGGGGAAGTTCTGTGTTGCTGCTGCCAGGAGCCCCGTGCTGGCCTCACCACCACGGCAAAGTACCCCCTTCCCACCTGGCAGCAGAAGAAGCACACCTCTGCACCACCGCTGCCCTGCTGCTGCTAGATAGCAGCATAAATGGCACAAGCCTCCCTGGCCGTGCTCTCCCTCCCACTGTGCCACAGAGGACCCCGGGGGAGGGCAGCAGGGCGGAGAGCCCCAGGCCTCATAGCAGACAGCCCACATCCTCTACCCTGTGCACAGATCTTGGGGGCATGTGCCCTGCCCCCCCAGTGTCCCCTCCCTGGGAGTACATTCAGCAGTAGGGTGCTGGCCCCACATTCTTGCCCCAGGCTCTGCCCTGGCTGGGCAGTGCCCCCAGCCACGGTTGCCAACCCTGCGCCATTCCCTCCCTTCACATGGTTGCCTCAATCTGCTTCCCCCTACCTCCTGACTTGACTGCAGGCAGTTGGGGGGACTTACTGTCCACCACTACCTGGCTATATGTACATGGTGCACACTGCGTCCCACTCCCCCAGCCCCTTGCAGGCTGGAACTTTGCCAGGCTGCAAGGAAAACCTATGACTTCCTTTAAAGGAAAAAAATCTTCCTTTCTCCTTCAGAAGAAGAAATCTGTGGGGATTTTTTCCACAGAGAACAGAAAACCTGGATCCCTGGTCCTGATGTGTTGCCCCAAGGAACTTACTTGCTCCGTATTGTTTATTGGCCAGCAGTTTTTTTTCCCAGCTGCCTGCTGCTGTAGACAGACTTGTTCTAATGCACTGAAACTTGCAATTTTCTGTTAAACACATGTTGAATAACAAGTTTGTTTTTTTTTTCAAAGCTGAAAATATTCTTTCATCTTGTTCATTATATTAACAAGCATGTTTTTTGTTTTCCAGGTCAGTCAATGCACCCATCTTCTAATGGTGGACAGCATTCCACAAAAAAGGTCCAGAAAAACAGAAATAATTATGCCTCGGTAGAGTGTGGTGCAAAAATACTGGCAGCAAATCCAGAAGCAAAGGTAGGCTGTGTTTTGTTTTTTTTTTTTATCTTAGTTTGAGAGTGTGAATGTGAGCATGGTTTTTAAGTTTAATATAATCTTGTAGTGAGTCCTAGCTACATCTCAGACATTGGATTTAAGGCAGAATCTTCAAGGTATTCTAGCATTTCTTGTATCTGGGCTTATTACTCTTGGGCTTTTGAAACGAATCCATAATGGTCCCTAACATCGGTGATTTTAGGGGTTACTTTAGAGAAATTGAAAGCTATTAAATGAAGTTCAATAGAAAGAAAAACTACCTAGGATAGGGATTTATGTAGGTTGTTCCGGATAGGCTATAAAGCAGTGTAAATAAGCATCTATTCTCTGCCAGTGTTCACAGCATGATATATTATTATCTTATCCTGCTGCTTAACTATTTCCATAACTAGATGTTTAGCTCCTATTATATCTGTATAGAAGTACACACCAAAAGGACACTTATTTCAAGGGAAAACTGACTTCTGCTTTCTATTTAATACCGGTGACAACTTAAACATTCTGTTTTATTTTCTGTACAGAGTACATCAGCTATTCTAATGGAAAACATGGATCTCTACATGCTGAATCCATGCAGTACTAAAATCTGGTAAGTTTAACACTGTGGTGTTTTACAGGTGGTTGTTTTGGTTGGCTGCCCTGAAGGAAATAAGCAGGTACTACTTTACCATTGGCTTGATATTTGTATATTGCTTCTGTAAGTGATTCTAACCCAGTGATTCTCAACCATGGTAGCACGGCACCCTGAAGTACCTGGAGATCTTTTCAAGGGTGTTGTGGGGTGCCACACAATCTTAGCACTATCAGGTGTGCAAACATGAGTCACAAGAATAAACCCAGAGTTTTCAAACTGATATTCTCATCTGTATGAACTGCTGGAGGAGCCATACTAAGACCTGGTGTTTTGGCCCATGCTGCAATGCATTTACCTTAAAATAAATGTGGGGACTGTATGTAAGGCTGGGAGCACAGGTGTACACCTTCATGCCAACAGTAAACTTACACATTTCAAGCGACACTGTCTAGTTTCCAGTTGAATTCCCTCGTCCTCCTTTTTAATTTGTGCTTTTAGTCATCCCCCCCCTTGTATATGTTTGAGAGAGAGATATCTATATCTATAAATAAAAAGGGGGGTGACGCATACAGTTATAAAATTTCACTGAAATATCTACAGGTCAAGTGCCTTACATACAAGTGCAAGTCTTGAAGTATAGATACTTTACTTGTATATCAGGATTCTGTTTAAAATAAGGGTTTGTATAGTTTTACTCAGAGGAAGTGAGGGCCCTACCTCAGAAATAGAATACTGAAGTGCCTTCTTTAATGTTGAAAGTAAAGATGTGTTCTTGCTGGTCCTAACTATCAGAATCCTGTAATTGGAATCTACTTTATTCTGCTAATATGCAAGCTAGGATACAATCCAGCTTCTCCTGGATTCTACTGTTCTTGTAATACTAGTAACTACTTTCTGAGATACGTATATATAAATCACAGTACTCACAAAGAGCTGATCAGTACAGGCATACCTTGGAGATATTGCGGGTTCGGTTCCAGACCACTGCAATAAAGCGAGTCACACTTTTTTTGGTTTCCCAGTGCATATAAAAGTTTTATGTTTACGCTATACTGTAGTCTATTAAGTGTGCAATAGCATTATGTCTAAAAAAACAATGTACATACCTTAATTAAAAAATACTTTATTGCTAAAAAATGCTAACCATCTGAGCCTTCAGCGAGTCGTAATCTTTTTTGCTGGTGGAGAGTCTTGCCCCGATGTTGATGGCTGCTGACTGATCAGGGTGGTGGTTGCTGAAGGTTGGGGTGGCTGTGGCAATTTCTTAAAATAAGATAACAATGAAGGTTGCCACAAACCTTCAATTTGTAACAAAACGCAATATCTGTGAAGCACAATAAAGCAAAGCGCAATAAAATGAGGTATGCCTGTACTGTAAGCGTTGTTTGGATAGTTGTTGAATAATTTCTCTATTCTCTTCCAGATAAATGGCTTGGGAAATGTACTGAGTTACTGATCCAACACTTCTCCTATATTTAAAACAAGACAAATTTTAAGAATTCAGGGTGCCAGCATGCAGTTGGATATGCTGGCAATGAGACTTTCTCAAACCTCCCATTTTATTTTAAGATTAATAAACACTCTTTTGCCTTAGAAACCTACCTGTTTATTGTGCAAAGCTACAAACAGTGAGGGTCCATTACTGTACTAGATTCAGATTCACTCTGATGAGATCTGCAGTTGTCATGGGCACATATATTTGAACAGACTCTTCTCTTGTGGGAAGGATAAGATAGGTGACTTAAAGCAATACCACAAATCATGTTTTCTCTTTGAAGAAATAAGAGAAAAAATGAATCTCTCTATTAATGGGAAATATTAGGTACTGGAAAGTGAAAAAATCTGGCCTCTTTCTAATATTTCAGTGCCTGTCTTAGGTGGATTTGTACTACTTGCACAAAGAATAAAGGCCCAAATAAGATGGAAACTCCTGTTTTGTTTTATTGTCCTCTGCTTTATTTTTACCTTCTCTTGTATTGTCATACAGTCCTATTTTGTTTTTAATTTTGTGTAACCTGGTAGAATGTGTGATCTCCCAATATGTTTTAGCAAAAGTTATAATTTTATATAAATGGTGTTTGTTATATAAATATAGTTTCTAGGGTCAGAAGGGACGTGAGCAGATCATCAAGTCCAACCCCCTGCCATGGCAGGAAAGAGTACTGGGGTCAAACGACCCCAGCAAGGTGTTCATCTAACCTCCTCTTAAAAACCCCCAGGGTAAGAGCCAGCACCACTTCTCTTGGAAGTTGATTCTAGACCCTAGCCGCCCTGACCGTGAAGTAGCGCCTCCCTGATATCTATCTAACCTAAACCTACCCTCTGCCAGCTTGTGACCGTTATTCCTGGTCACTACTGGCAGTGCTTGGGGGAACAGTGACTCCCCCAGTGCCTGCTAATCTTCCCCCCCCCGACTAGTGTATAACAGGCTGCAAGATCCCCCCCCCTCAGCCTTCTCTTTTGGAGGCTGAACAGGTTCAGGTCCTGTAGCCTCTCCTCATAGGGCCTGCCCTGCTGTCCCCTGATCATGCGAGTGGCCCACCTCTGGACCCTCTCCATGCTGTCCACATCCCTCTTGAAGTGCGGCGCCCAGAACTGGACGCAGTACTCCAACTGCGGCCTGACCAGTGCCGCATAGATGGGGAGGATCACCTCCTTGGACCTGCTCGAGATGCATCTGTGGATGCATGACAAGGTGTGGTTGGCCTTCCTAACTGCCTCCCCACACTGCCAGCCCATGTTCATCTTGGAGTCGGTGATGACTCCAAGATCCTTTTCCGCCTCCTTGCTGACAAGGGGAGTTCCCTAACCTGTAGGTGTGGTGCCGGTTGTCCCTCCCCAGGTGTATCACCTTGCACTTGTCTGTGTTGAATCCCATCCTATTCTCATCCGCCCACCCTTGTAACCTGTCTAGGTCTGATTGTAGCCTGTTGCTTCCTTCTAGTGTGCCCACATCCCTCCACATCTTAGTGTCATCAGCAGATTTGCACAGGGTGCTTTATACCCCCTCGTCCAAATCGCTGATGAAGATGTTGAACAGTGAGGGCCCAAGGACTGAGCCCTCAAGTGTGTGTATAATATTTTATTACTTGTACTGATTTTTGGCAAAAAGTTGTAAATAAACTAGTTATGCTACGATTAGTATATGGTATGGAAGGCACTTTTCAGATTAGAATTTTGAGAGAGGAGCTACATTTCTCAGAAAAATGGCTTGTGGTGTGCATATGGACTGTTGGTTATCTAGAACAGTGGTTTTCAAGCCTTTTTTTCTCTCTTGTGGACCCCTTTGGAAATTTCAAGTCAAGGTACTAGACCCCTTTGAATTGTATGCATGGGTATTCATATACTTTTGATCTTGGCCATCTTTTGTGGACCCCTTAAACGAAGTCTGCAGACTCCCAGGGGTTCATGGACCACAAGTTGAAAACCACTGCTTTTAGAACTTTCAATTATGCAGTAGCATAAATAAGTGTTGCAACTGTGCGTGTGAAAGCTACTTGTTTCTAATATCAAGTTTCTTTTTGCCTTCAAGGTTTGTTATTGAGCTCTGTGAACCAATTCAAGTAAAGCAACTTGACATTGCAAATCATGAATTATTCTCCTCTACTCCTAAGGATTTTCTGGTGTCCATTAGTGACAGGTATGTCATGACTTGAATAAGTGATCATTTACATTCAGAAAAGTCAATATATAAAGTAGGAATAACTTTAAGTTGCAGTTATTTCATACTGGGCAGAATTTGGGAGGGTGGGAAAGGATACTTATGTGCCTCACAGCTGCTCTTTATTTTAAATGTTGTGAAATAACAACATGGATGATTCATTTTGTATGTATGAATGGCTATTTTTCTACAGTAGATGTGTTGGCAACTTCTTTTCAGAAAACAAATACAACCCAAAACAAAACTCTCTGTAGTATGTATGTGTTTCTGTGATGGTTCCTATTTCTTGCACCTTTTTGTTTGCCTTATTAGAAATGGGAAGAGAGAGCCCTATTGGTCTCTGCCATAAATATAAAGCAGTAAGACAAGGATCCAAAATACTGGCATTTATTGAACCTTTAAATAGCTAAAATTTTCCTGCTTTGAAGCAAATTGCCCACTTCTGAACTCTCAAGTGATGCTCATATTGGAGCCGAACATGGATTCTTTTTAATAGATTCCATTTAATATTTTTGCTGTGGTGTTACTTTTTCCTCTTTTATAAATGGCACCAATCAATCAATCAGTCAATTCTTTCCTGCCCTCTGTCACTCAAGCCTTTTTATAATATTATTGGTTGTACAGAAATCAGTTTTCAAAGGTGAGATCTGTCAGAGTATTTCCCCCACCTTTTTTCTCAAAACAATGGGAAGAAGTATAGTACAGTGGATCTTGCATCCTTCTTCCTTCCTAGCTCTTGTGAAGTAGCAAAATGGTTTCTTTTTGGCAAATTTTTGTCTTTCTAGATTACCGTTAGGGGTGTGTTCCAGTTAGCCTTCATACTCATGATTCTGCCAAGTTTTTAAGTATTGGCTTAGCTCCAAGCCATCCAACTTCTACATGGCTAGAGGGACCTGGAAATCCCCAGCTGCATATTGTACCTCTGCACCATGTGGAAGCTGTCTCCACTCCCTAAAACCTTCCACTCTCTTCCCCTCTACAGCCCCACCACCACTGCATCATGTACCCAGGCTGACTTTTGCCTTCCCCCCCACAGCTGTGTAGTGCTGCCACTTAGTTGCTTGGTGCAGGGGCAGGCAGCAGAAGCTGGAGGAGGGAGGGAGAGACTCCAGCTGCTGTTAAAGCCAAAATAGTGGGGAAAGCGGTGACTAGGTACACTCATTCGCACTGTACATTTTGGCCTTTATAAGAAGACTAATCTCTCTTCTTGGTCTTTAAGACCTCAAGACCTGGGAGGCAGGGGAGGGTGGTGATATAAAATCACAAATACTTTCTAGTACCCTACATTGGTTTTTTTTTTGGTTTTTTTCAGCATTCGGAATAAGAGAAACACTTTATAGCTACAGGGTATCCAAAATAGTTTTTAGCAAGAATCAGGCACCTTAATGTTTAAGCCTCGTTCAGCTAACTTTACTTGTGCTTATGGGGAGCTGGGGTGGCATGAGCGCTAAGATGCACAACTGACAGTCCAGATGTCACAAGCTGAAGGCCATAGCAGAAGCACTCAGTGTGGCCTGTCAGATTCCAGTGAATCTGAGAATTCTGCTAAATACCATGTCATAAGGACACGAATAAGGGAAAGGATTTGTGCTTATTCTAAAGTTAACAGGTCTTGACCTAAAATTGACCATGAATCTGAATACTGTGAAGTGTCGCTCTAAAATTGGGCCCTATCCTGCAAACATGGAGTAATAATATAGTAGTATATTAAATAATTTCCCCGATGTGACTTTACACTTTATTTTCCAGGTACCCAACGAGCAAGTGGATTAAACTGGGTACTTTTCATGCTAGAGATGAGAGGAATGTCCAGAGCTTTCCTTTGGATGAACAGATGTACGCAAAATACGTTAAGGTAATTCTTCTATGTAGTTAATGTGCGTTTCTCCTTGTAAAGGGAATAACTTGAAGGACAGCTATGACTTTCTGTTCAACCAAGCAACCTTAGAACTAGGTAAAAAATGATCCTTACCATGCGTTAAAGTAACTTTGAGAACTAATTTTTAATTTAGTATGGTCCATCACATTTTTTGTGATTTGTTGACTTTTTTTTCCTGAGGAAGTATGGAGTTGTATAATAGAACATGTCAGCATTGTGCCAGTTTTCTGAGCAAGATTTCGTGTTAGTCTCAAATTTGAATTTAAAGTTTTTTTTTCTCCTTTTAACAGTCAGAAATGTTGTTTACTAACATGTCTGACTAGTCAAATACAAAAGACTCTGCTAAAGAACAGGAAACAGGATAGATCGGTTTAGCAGACTTTTCAGCTATACTTGATATTTATAGATTTTGCTTCTGGTTGCCACGTTTTTTGCTTTATATTTTTAATGAAGCTAATTGCTTTCAGAATTCTTTTGGTTTTGGTTTTTTTATACACATACCAGTTTGCATGGTACGTGGTTTTGTGAGTTTGAATAACTTGCAGTAGTTTACTATGCCTCTGCTATAAAATCCCCCACAATTATGTACTCTAGTATTTTTGTTTATCCAGGTGTATACTTTAACAAATCAGATGTCCTAATCTGTAGAAACCAGGATGCAAGTTCCGACTTTGTCTGTGATTCACAGTACAATCCTTGAGTTGTATCTGCTGCCTGTCTTAATTCCCCTGAATTATTTAGGCTTGCTGCTCTAGAATCTGCATCTTAATAATTTATAAATTCACAAAAGCTTGTTCTGCATTGAGCATAAATTTAGATTTCAGGTGAGGAATGAAATTCAGAGCCTGCTTTTTTTTTAAAGAAAAAGATCCCCATAACTGACTTCATTGGTACAGATGAGCCATATTTTTGTCTGAAGTACATGTTAGCTTCCAAATTTGTTTTGATTTTTCTTTAACAATTTTTTTTAAGGGAAAAAATTCTCAGAGCACATAGGAATTATATCTGGGGCATTAATGAATAATATTTTCATTCAGTTTTTTAGCAGGAGCAAAATTAAATCACAAGTTTGAGAGACCTATTTCTGTATTTCATCTTTCATTCCCCTAATGTTCAGTTACACTGGCACTTTTTTCAGAAAGTGATCTGAAGAGCAAATATAAATCCATTGCAGTGGTTTCTGACATGACACATGCATGACTAGAACAGTACTGACTGTCTCCTCACTTTTTAAATAATAATTTGCAATGCACTAGCTTTCCCCTGGGGCTTTACTCCTGTTCTTTTTGAGTCTGTTTACATCACATATTACTTGCAGTGAGTAAATGTTGTCATGCAATGCTGTAGCTCTTTATAAAATTAGATTTATACCTTTCCCAGGATGCATGCTCTTGAAACGGCTACATTTTTTCCTAGTAATTTGGTGTGTACCACAATTAAGAGGTTCAGTTTTCTGATATAGGAGAGATGACATTTTAATTGATGCTAATAGCTGTTTAAATCTTTTAATGTTCATGCCTCAAATTTCTTGCATGAATCTGGACAATGTGACTGTAACTCTGCTTGCTGAACTTTTACATTGTAGTGGTCAGTAAAGTGCTTAGAAGTATGCTAGATCAGTGGCTCTTAACTGATGGCCTGTAGATGAGTTTTATAAGGGCAACCAAGTGATCTTCTCCTTGCATCTTTCTGCTTCTGAGCTGCTTTATGCTGGAGCTAGTGTGCTTGGGAATGAGCAGAGCTGCCTTAGTGTAATGCTGCTCATAAGCTAATAAAATAACCGTTGCTAAAAGGTGATGCAGGTTTAGGCAGGGACAGAGCCACGTGAATTTGGGTGTGTGGAGTAGTGGATTGGCAGCCTAGGTCATGGTACTGTGTTGGGGGCAGTATGAAAGTGAAATGAACTGAACCATGGGATCAAAGGTTGAGAACCACTGTGCTAGACATGGGATTTTTTTTAAGTCTCTTCTGCATGTACCAAGTTCCTCCTAAGGCAGTATAATATGGTGAAAAGATAACATATTATAGTACTGATTATTGTCAATGCATTGGCTTCATAACAAAGATGGCTGTTCTTAGTATTTGTCTAGTCTAAATTGGGGATATTTTGGAAAATTAATCCAAATTTAACTAAATGTGAGAATTGATAGTGGATTATTTAAACTGCATTAAATCATGTTTTTTTCACAAATGGAAATGGCCTTGATTTAGCTTGGTTACTTCAGAGGCAGAATAAGTGGAAAACAAATTAAGCCCATTTTAGTCGTGAACAGATGTCCATTCAGAAATTCCATGTGGTTTAACAAATTTAATTTTAAATTCATGCCTCTAATTAGGATTTAATTTTCTTGAGCATCCCTGTATAGATCTAGACTCAGTATAAACAGTGCTAAATAGAAGACTTTTTTTCCATTGGATCTTGAACTCTTCTTTCTTCTAAATTCCCCTGAAAAAATTTCTATAAAATAGAACATGCTATACTGAATTTAGAGCAGGAACAGTACATTAATGATCTTTAAAAATGGGGATATTTTTTTGTAGGTAGCTTAATATTTTTCCTAACTTTAAGAATAATCACGTTAAGAGTAACATGTTAAAGATTTTGTCTGGCATACTTTTAGAGTGCAATAACAGGGACATTAGAATAATCTGACTGAATCCTTTGCATAGAAATCTTTTATTTTGTATTATACTGTCTATCTTTCAGCTTGAGCTAGAAGCTTTTGGATTTACCTAACACTCAACAGTGTTGCAACTTCAGTCTTCACAACTTATTTCTTGTAAAGCATTTAAGCTTGGGACAGAAATTTAGGCCTAAACCAGTATAAGTGATCAGAAACTAGTTTAAAACTAACACAACAGAAGTTTGGTGTGCACAAACTGCTTTCAGAATGGCTGAAACTGGTTTAAGATAAACCTGGATGATGTGGTATCAGACTTAACTGATTTAGGTTAAATTGGTTTATTGAAATTCTGTCCCCTTCCAAATTCAAGCTGTCTGTTCCAGCCAAGCAGGGAGGTGTGCTCAAGCACCCCTCGGCTTCTGGCTTGGACCACTGTAGGCATGTGGCTGCATTTCTGGAATCAAAAGTGAATGTCTGTTCACTTGTTTATGGGTTCAATCTGCACAGTTTAGACTAACCTGCAAAGATTGAATCAAGTTAGCCTCAGGCTTTTTGACTCTGTGTACTTAGCGTTTATAGTACTAAATTAAAATTGCTAGAGTTGCCTGTGGCATGTGTCCAGCTTTTGTACTGACATCTTTCTTTTCCTTTCTCTTGCTTCAGATGTTCATCAAATACATAAAGGTTAGCAATCTCCTCTTTCCAAATATTGAATGCATAGGGCTTGGGGTATACTCTGCAGCTCAGCATGTTGGCAAGAATAAAGCTTTCCAAGAACCTTTCTGTTATGAGCAATCTGCACTCTGCTTAAGTAAACCTAACTTGCAAATTAAAAACTAGATGTGCGTGTTGAGTAGAGATTTTATCTGATTCTTCTCTAGTCTTTCATTCTAAATGCTTGTTATTCTTTAGGTGGAGTTGGTGTCACATTTTGGATCAGAACATTTTTGTCCTCTAAGCCTTATAAGGTAATAATGAGTGAAATACTTTGATCTGAAAGTTACTTTTTACTTCTAGGGCTGAGAAATGTTTAGTGCATCTAATGTCAAATGGAACACATTTCGGTTTAAGTTCAGCAGCAGTATTCTTGATTCTGTTTAAAGAAAGGGATTACATAAGTTAGACGTTGCTGACATGATGGTTCAAATTATTGTAAATTGCTTTAAAAATTCCTTAAATAAGGTGGTATCCATAAGGAAATGTCCTCCCTAAATTCCCTTGTACATTCTGCTTCCCTTTTTTCCTCCTTCACTACCCCTTCTCCAAGCCTCTTTTCAGTCATCGAGGTTACAACAAGATTTGATCCCTAGTATCTCTAAAGTAGTATAGCTCTAGGTTATTAAGCCAGTCTTGAAGGTGAGGGAGAGATTGAATGTAGTGCACTAGAAACTTACACTATAATGTAAGGATTTGAAGAGTGTCATGGTCACTGTCAAGCCAGAAAGACTGTCCTAGAATTTCTATCCTAAATTAAATGAGGAGGATAAGACTTCTATGCATTGCAAAAGGTGGATGTTGCAGTAATTCAAGATGAAGAATAAGATGTGGATGGGAAGTCGGGTGATGAGAAAAGATCTGACTTCCTTAAGGGAGGGGTTAAGGTGGGAAGAAGGTTAGAACCAAATAGTGCTACTAAGTCTAACTGCAACGCTAGTGGAATCCTAACTAACCCTTCAATAAATGAGTGTTTAAAAGAAAAGGCATTGGTCAGCTTATGTAAGATGCCAGTTTGCTGGTTGACTAATCCAGGGCAAGCGTTGTTAATTTAATATGCTTGCTTCAGTCATTAAAACATCATTAGAATTTAGCCTGACAACTTACGTTTTGGTTTTATTTGAAATATTGTTTATAGAGTGTTCGGCACTAGCATGGTTGAAGAATATGAAGAAATTGCTGATTCCCAGTATCAGTCAGAACGCCAAGAGCTGTTTGATGAAGACTACGGTAAGAAAACAAATAAATGTGTATTGCTTGTTAACTATCAGATCTCTTGTAACTTGGTCACTGAAGTTTTTCATGTGTTCTGAAATGATCAGTTTGGCAGTTAGGGACTACTTCACTTTTATTATCCTCTAGGATGGGTTGGTAAGTCGCATTCAGCCAACAGCTGTAGGGTTGTGAGGGGAGCTTTGGTAGAAGTTGCCCTCCCTGTGCCACTGTAAGGAGAAGTGCCGGTGGCATCTGTGTCCTAGTCACTCCAGTCTGCAGCCTAAAGACACTGCCAACCTCTGCTCTAGGATAACACTATCTTCCTGCTTACAAAGAATGTCCAAATATCCAGCTAAGTCTCAAGCTGCTGTTCTGTAGTAAATCTCTGCAGGTGTCAGGATACACAAGGGATTGTGAGAACTAAATAGTTAATTAGCTGAACATAGATAATGCTTTAGCCATCTTCAAGGGATCTCTGGCACTGTATCACCATCGTGTTCTCCCTACATGAAGCTTCACTCTGCCCACACTCACGTAGTCATATAGTGATGGGCTTGCTGTCTCTTCAGTAGAGCTTTCATGTGGCTCAGGTGTGTTAATCTTCTACACATGGTTACTGATCAGTCTGGGATAGGCAGCCATACTTCTCCTGCACCTAGCAGAAGTAGAA